CCTCAACCAGTGTGGAATGCGCATTTCACCGATACGCTGTCACTGCAAGTTTTGATCACTTCCAAGCACGGGATGAGCGCAGAAGAGGAGATGGAATAAAAGGCGGGCCATCGAGCGTGCCCGCTGCCCCGGACGCACTGTCCTGGAGGGCATCATTTGAGTTCTATGGTACATGTCGCATTATGTCTGAAGGAAAAGGAAGTCTCGCCGAATCCCGTCTAATGCAGCTTCCGAGCTCTTCTTCCCCGTCGTTCTTTCGTATCCTAGTGGTACAACAACACGACCTGTGGTGGTGGATGGTGGGTGGAGTGTGGAGAGGGTATGTGGTGGATTGTGGGTGAGTGAGAAGAGAGGGCGATCCGCTTAGGCGGTAGCGTCCTTGAGGTAGGCGATCAGGTCGTTCCTGTCCTTGGCCTTCTTGAGACCACCGAAGGCCATCTTGGTGCCGGGAATGTACTTCTTGGGGTTCTCGAGGTACTCGAACTGGAAGGAGGTTAGAAGAGGCTCGCTTTCGAGTCACGATCAAGATCAACGTACCAGAGTGTCGTTGTTCCACTCAATGCCCTTCTGCTTGTTGGCATCGGTGTAGGAGTAGCCGTCGACGGAACCGGTCTTGCGGCCAAAGAGGCCGTGCAGCGCAGGGCCGATCTTGTTGCCGCCGCCAGCCTCGACGGTGTGGCACTGAGCGCAACGGGTCTTGAAGAGGGAAGCACCCTTCTTGGCGTCACCTGGGGCGAAAGTTAGCTATGCGACTGGTTTGTGGTGGTGATGCAGTATTGGCAGCTGTGGCAGCGACATGGTTTCCAATTGGTCTGAGAGGGGAGACAGAGAGCATCGGGCTTTCGTTCGAGGTGGATAGCGTTTGAGGTCGAGGTGAGAAACAAGTCAGACTCAGTAGGTATGAATGAGCTGGAGTCGTTGTCCTTTCGTCCGCAGCGTTGCCGAGGCCATGGGAAATGACGCAGGAGAATCTGACATGACAGGTGCGCCAGAGGTCGCCGAGGCTCCAAAATCACCCCAAGCCCAGAAATCGCAATACAGACAACCTCTCAACGGTGTATCAAAGTCGAAGATACCAGCGCCGATACTCAATGCATTCGCAGACCAATCGTACCATTCGCAAAGCCTGCCACTGGGAAAGGGAAACTCTGGATGTAGGAACTTACCACCAGCCATTTTGACGGTTTGGGGGGGGTATTAAGGTGTTAAGGAGATGAGAA